AAATTGAGCAAGCAAATACTGTTGAAGAAGAAAAATATCTTTATTGAAAATTGGAGAGAAGTGCTCCAACAAGACAAATTTGGTTACTATAATTTTTACATTAAGGAAGAGTGTTGAAAATTCATGTATAAATTATAATTTATTTTATTTATTATTTTGCATTCAAATAGAATTTGTCTTTTAATTAGATTTAACTCATATTTATCTTTTAAATATCATGTAATTAGTAGAAGTTTATTTTTTAAAAAATATGATTAATGTTTATCTTTTATATTGTAGTATATTAATTTTAGAAAATTTAATTTTGATGTAACTTTATTTAAAGATGTTTTTAATTGTTAATTTGGAGATAGTGAAGTCAATGAAAATTTAAATTTTCTTCACTTAGAACACATCTCAATAGAAAAATTTGTGTCTATGAAGATTTTTTTTACCGTGAATGACTAAAGAAAAGCTTTTGAGAGATGGGGGATATCGAGAGAAGGAATGAGAGAGAGAGAGAGAGAGAGAGAGAGAGAGAGAGAGAGAGACAAAAAGACGAAGAAGAAGAAGAAGAAAAAGAAATAAAAACTTTGGGGAAGAAGTGGATTCCATCCAAGTGGTAGTGTTTTGAGAGAAGAAAATGGTGGGAAAATTTTAAAAGATGACTAATTTTAGATAATATTTTACTAAAAATGAGAGTAAGAAGAACGGAAAATTAATCGAAAGACTCAATTTTTTAATTTGTGATAGTTCCAATAAATTTTCAAGTACACGAGTATATATACATATTAACAAAATCAAAAGTTTCCAAAAAAAAAAAATTAGAAAGTTGGAGATTATTTTGTAACAAAAAACATTAACGACTAAAATAAAAAATAGATCCGTGTTTGGAGATTAAATTAGTAATTTACGCTAAAATCAATTCTCTTTGAATATGATAAAATATTAGAAACGAAAATTTGAAACTATTCTTGAGGTAGAGCTTGAAAAACAACTTAGATATTTACGAATATACAACTAGTGAGACTCTACTCTCTTGTCTTTTGTTCTTGCTTCATTTCCTCAATTGTTTTCTGTGTTCTAATCCTCTGTACTTCAGATTTTTGCTCCATATATTTTTTAGGAAACTTAAAGCAATTCTTGAAACAAATTAATATGCCCCCCACCCCCTCAGTTTATGCATATATCTAATATGCACAAAGATATTCAGAATCTATTAACACAGTGTATATATCAGTTTTGATAGGCAAATGGAGATTACCTTTAAGATTCAACATCAGCCTCTACGAAATTTATATCCACAGCTTTTAATCTTCCGAGAAACAATTAAAAAATTCGTTAGTTCATAACCTATTGTAGACATTTTAAAATTTTTCAATGTAACGCGTTCCTTTTTATCGAATGATAGACAATATCTAAAATCTCGACACAGCTAGTAAGAATCTTTTCCGTGTAGCAAAAAACTGTTTAGACATCAAAGTTCATCAGGGCAAGAACTTTTAAGATCAGTCCATTCACTTCACAAGACAACTGTTTAGAATGTATAACCAATAAACACCTAAATTTCCCTTATTCATACAGGAAACACATAAAACAGATATATGTATATGTATATATGTATAGAGCAAACACATCCTTACAGATACTTCATGCATGGGAAACAAATACATAAAGATTCTTCATTCAGGAAATAAATATCACAGAACCGATATACATGGATCCTTCACTTATGAAACAAAAGAGCATATACAAATATCATACATTCATAGATACAACATCCATGTAGTGCAGATAGAAATGTCATAGATTTATAGATGCAACGTTTACATATATATATCAAATAATTATGTGAAGCTAAATGCCAACCAAAAGTATGGATTAATAAGAATTTAGATAACTAGATCAATTTAACAAGTAAAATTGTAACACCAAAAAAAAAAAAAAAATTTCTTTTATTATTTTATTTTTATTTTTATTTTATTTT